TTGTGTGTGTGTGGGGGGTAAATCTCGATCCAGAGGCAAGCCGCAGAGTTCTCCAGGGGATGCAGAGGACCAGCCCTCATCTTCCAAGAGCAGGCTGGAGGGTTTCTCCGAAGGGCAGGCGACCCGTCCTCCTCCTCCTCCTCCTCCACCTGCTCCTTCTCCTCCTCCTCGTCATCCATCTCCTCCACCCTCCTCCTCCTCCTCCTCCTCCTCCTCCTCCTCCTCCTCCTTTTCCTCCTCCTTCTCCTCATCCATCTCCTCCTCTCCCTCCTCCACCTCCTCCTCCTCCTCTTCATCCTCCTCCTCCTCCTCCTCCTCCTCCTCCTCCTCCTCCTCCCCCTCCTCGGGTCGCCTACGGCCCCCGGGGGAACCATGCAGAGCAACCATGTAGCCCACATGACAGCTTGCCAGCCTGCAGGTTAATTGGGGCGAGGGATGAAGACATTTCGCTTAGGATGTAAACCATGGGAGGTTACATTGAGCCTCGGCGCTGGGACATCCGCGGTCGAAAGCCGGCTCATCTCGGCAGAATCTTGTTCAATCCCACTAAACCCGATCCCGCTGAGTACTGCTCAATCTTGGGCCTCATGATAGAGAAAGCATTCGGCTTGGTGGCCCCATTGTCGGGCTCAGTAACCCCTACGTCATCGCTATTCAAAAGGACTTCCGAAGAGTTGCCTCCCGAAGCCGCCATGCACGAGAGGGTTATGGCGGGAAGTGTGTCTCGGCCCCTGGGGCTTTGCCCGCCGAGGGCCTGTTGTTCGTCCTATGGGTCGCTCCCAACCGTCCTGTGGTGTTGGGCCCTCGCTCTGAAGAGACAGCACCACGCGTTCGCCCATCATCCCTCATCCCTCCTCCTCCTCCTCCTCCTCCTCCTCGCGGCGCTTCTGCCCCCTCCCTCATCCCATCCCTGCCTCTGCTCTCCGCATGAGTCCGACCGTTCCGGCGCACCCCTCACACGTTTCGTGGTTCCATGGGGAGCTCCACCGAAGGTCCAATTGCTGCCGCCCGCATGCGGCTTCACCACCAAGTACAGCTCTTCGTGGCCCCATCGGGAGCCCCACCGAAGGTCCCAGTGCTGCCGCCCGCATGCGTCCCCGCTACCCAGTACATCGCTTCGTTGCCCCGCAGCGAGCTCCACCGTCTGCCTCAGTGCTGCCGCCCGCATGCGCCCCCCCCCAACCAGTACAACGTTTCGTGGCCCCATCAGCGCTAACGTCCGCATGCGTCCCCCTACCCTGTACAGCGCTTCGTGGCCTCATAGGTAGCTCCAGCGACGGCCCCCGTGGCACCGTCCGCATGCGTCGCCCGCACCCTGTACAGCGCTTCGTAGTCCCATAGTGAGCTTCATCGACGGCCCGAGTGGTACTTTCCGCACGTGTCTCCCCCACCCAGTACAGAGTTTCGTGGCCCCAGACGGAACTCCACCGAAGGCCCCAGTGATACCGCCCGCATGCGCCCCCCCACTACCCAGTACATCGTTTCGTGTTCCCATAGGGAACTCCACCGAAGGTCCCAGTGCTACCGCCCGCATGCGCCCCCACTATCCAGTACATCGTTTCGTGGCCCCATAGAGAACTCTACCGAAGGCCTCAAGGGCACCGTACACATGCGGCTGCCCCCCATCATTGCAGCGTTTCGTGGCCCCATAGGGAGCTCCACCGAAGGCCCCAGTGGCAAAGTTCGCATGCGTCTCCCCCACCTAGCACAGCGCTTCGTGGTTCCATAGGGAACTCCACCGAAGGCCCCAGTGGCAAAGTTCGCACGCGTCTCCCCCACCCAGCACAGCGCTTCGTTGTTCCATAGGGAACTCCACCGAAGGCCCCAATGGCAACTTTCGCACGCGTCTCCCCCACCCAGCACAGCGTTTCGTGGCCCATCGGGAGCTCCACCGAATGTAATACCTACAGCTGCGGTGCTCACAATGGTTGGGACCTTCGCCAAGCTAGTTTTTGATGGCCCCTGCGCCCATGGAAGGACCGCATATCACCACTCCAAGCGGCGAAACACATCCAGGGCCCCTGTTCTCCACGACAACGCTTGGCGAGGAGGAGGAGGAGGAGGAGAGAGGGAGGAGGAGGAGGAGGAGGAGAGGAGGAGGAGGAGGAGGAGGAGGTTTTTTGATGGCCCCCTGGTCCGTGGGAGGGCCATGGGGGCTCCGAAGGAGGCGAAAACGGCCCAAGACCCATGTTTTCCTGAATCCGCTTCCTTCATGAGGAGGGGGAGGAGGAGGAAGACGAGGAGGAGGGGGAGGAGGAGGAGGAGGAGGAGGAGGAGGAGGAGGAGGAGGAGGAGGAGGAGGAGGTGCAGGAACAGGAGCAGGAGCAGGAGCAGGAGCAGGAGGAGGAAGAGGAGGAGGGGGATGAGGTGGTTTTGCTTGGGCGGAGGCCACGTATGACGTGGCCAGAGATGCTTTTACAGTGGTCGGCCCTTCCATGGCAGGGCGCGCCGGGCTTCCGCACGTGCATTCAGCGCGGGGCCTTTGGATGCTTCACGTGGGTACAGCCGTGTGTGTGTGTGTGTGTTTTAGCTTCCTGGTATGCCCCATCGCGGCCACCTCCCCTCGCCTCGTTAAGCCCTCTGGGCGCGCGCGGTCTCTCTCTCTCTCTCTCTCTCTCTTTCTCTCTTTTTATCTCTTCCGCCCGTCTCTCGGCGCCTTGCCCACTGCTACCGCGGGGATGCTGCGCAACTCGCTACCGCGGTCGCTGCGTTGTCAGACGGCATGTGTGCAAGGATGCGGCCTTCGCTAGGCCGCCCTGGCTTTCTTGGCAACATCCGTCTGTTTTTTCGTCCGGATGCGTCCTGGCGTGCGGGGGCAAAGATGCCGCCCGCCTCGGGTCCCTCGCGTCCCTGGGCTCTCTGGAGGTTCGGCGCCCTTTTATCATGTCGGCGCGTTTCAAGGGTCTTGCACCCTGAAGCTCCATCTAGACCTTTTTAATTGTTCAAGCAGTGGCGAAGCGTCCCAGCTCGCCTGTAGGCCTACCAGAGAATGTTCTAAGATCCTTTTGTGGTCTCCACGAAATGTTCTTAGAACATTTCTGGCTGGTATTGTCTTGTTTTAGCACATCGGGTTTATGTTCTAAGAACATTGCTTTTGTTATTAGAGCATGTTTGGGTTCTAAGAACATTCCGTGGTAGGCCTATCGGAATGCCGGGACGGTCGGTCCCTGCTCAAATTGTAGAGGGAGGAGGGTGCCCCTTCTCGTCCCCACGTTGCTCCCCCTCGTGTCGTCCCCGCTCCTGCTCAGGCTCGGTCGGGGCCCCGTGTGGCGGCCGCAGAGCGCACAGCCAATGACGCTGGACGAAGGACCGCCTGCTGCTCTGCAGGGGCTCCAGTTTTCCAGCCGTTCCCTACTCAAAGAATACCCCCCAACAAATTCAAAAAATGACACAAAAAACAACTCGTCCCCTGACTATGTTTTAACTATGCTTGAATATTCCTCCTGTGGAGGGACAGGCCCGACTTAACGTTGCTCCCATCGTACTTACCTCTGGGTTTCTTGATAAGCGTGGGGGGGTACCCCCCCGACGGGGGTCAGCCTCGCCTCGTCGTCGCGCCGCGACGGGGTCGGAGCGCCCCCGGCGCGCGGTGGCTGCCCGCGACGGGCGTCGATGTGGGGCCATCGGCGGGGGTACGCCCCCCCACCCCCCCGACGCTTCAGAAACTCGGGGTACCCGAATCACCACAGGGGGGTGCTAACTGGATAAAGAGGGGTACAAATGGGCGCCAAGGCGGGGGATGCTCAGCGGGGCTGACAGGTGGGTTACAAGTGCCCCGAGTGGCTCGGGCGGGTTGAGGGGGCGAGGCCCATGTACCCCGAATCTTCACCCCCCCAAGTACAGGGCACCTCTGACCGACTCATGAGCTGGATTGGGCCAGACAGAGCCCAGCCTCGCATCCACTTCTAACCCTCCTCCTCCTCCCCCTCCTCCTCCTCCTCCTCCTCCTCCTCCTCCTGCTCCTCCTCCCCCCCTCCTCCTCCTCCTCCTCCTCCTCCTCCTCCTCCTCCTCCTCCTCCTCCTCCTCCTCCTCCTCCTCCTCCTCCTCCATCCACCTAGCAAGCACCGCGGTGGTCCACGTGAGCCGAAGTTGTGGAGCCCTTCGCTCCCTCTTCGGAGGTTGGTCGGCCTCCTGCCCTGACGCGTCGATTGGCGACTTGGCCGTTCTCGGTTCGCGAGAGGGCGTCGCGGTCGTCATTTTTGCGGGTCCAGGTCCGTCGGTTTCGGTCCTGGGCCGTTTCCACTAAAAAGGGAGGTTTGCTAAAGGGAGGTTTGTCCACCGCCGACTTATTCGGCGCTCTTTCTGGTGGCATGATGGCTGCATGCCTATCTGGACTCTGCAGTGGCCAGGGGGGCGAGGGCTCTGGCCACTCCATGGTGACGCAGCCCTCGCAGGAGGAGGAGGAGGAGGAGGAGGAGGAGGAGGAGGAGGGGGCCCAGATCTCCAACGCATTCTAGAACAATCAAGAGGGGGGTGTTCTTCAACGCTTGAAAACAATTGCGGCGGATGGTTTTTGGCCGAGACATCGGTTCCTAGTGAGGGGAGGGGGAGTAGGAGGTGGAGGAGGAGGAGGAGGAGGATCTTCTCTCACCTGGATGGCGCGTAACTTTGGGTGTGGCCTGCTGCTGCTCCTTTCCCTCTGAAGCCGCAGCGCTTTTTCATCTACGTTGTTCCACTGGCTTGGGCTTTAAGCTTCGTGCCCGATTGGCGAGCGAGTGAGGAGCCCAGAGTTCCGAGCATCCGACTTTCTCAACGCGCAGCCCCAGAGGACCCGACCCCTTTCCCATGGCTAGCTTTCCGTCCCGGACCGCTTCCGATGGCCTTGAAGCCAAACTCGAGGAAAAGCACCTTGAGGGAAACAGGCATATCGTCTCGTCTGCGAAGACGAGGCTGTGCCGGCGAACGACGATCCACAAGCGCAGGTCGACATGTCGCTTCGTCTAAGCGAGAATGGAGGGCGACACAGAAGAGGGACACATGGGGGCGGGGTGGCCCGGAGGTGCCGCTGGGCCACTGTGCAGGAGCCGGAGCTCGGGCTTCGCGCGGGCGTGGCCATGGGCCGATTGCAGGCGGGAGCCCTCGGGGGCGGGGGGGGGGGTCGGCGTCCGCCCTCGAGGGGTGAGGGCGGGGTTTTCGCCTCCGCCTCTGAGGGTTCGGAAGTGAGAGGGGAAGGGGGACAAGGAGGAGGAGGAGGAGGAGGAGGAGGAGGAGGAGGAGGAGGTGCAGGGGGAGGAAATGGAGGAGGAGGAGGAGGAGTAGGAGGAGGAGAAAAAGAAAAAAAGGGGAGGCCAGGACAGCTGGAGGAGGGCCAGCAGAGCAATCGGGGGGAAGAGGGGATGGTAGTTGCGGAAAGGGCGGGGATCGACCTCCTCGGGGTCGCGGAGCAATCCAAGGATCGTTTGCGGATGCCGATCTGCTTGTGCTTGTCGTGCACGAAGGTCAGGGCCAGACGGGCCCGTCTTGGACGCAGCCTCGCGACGGACGAGGCATCTGCTGTCGTCCGTCTCATCTGCGCGGTGCGGCGGCGGTGTTCGAGGGGGACTGCGGCGCCGCGGCCGCGCGCGAGGAGGGGCAGGAGGAGGAGGAGGAGGAGGAGGAGGAGGAGGAGGAGGAGGAGGAGGAGGAGGAGACGAGTGCATCGGCGCACCCGCGCGAACCTGTCCACAGCCTGAAATTTTGAGGAGGAGAAAGACGAGGAAGACGAGGAAGAGGAGGAGGAGGAGGAGGAGGAGGAGGAGAAGGAGGAGGAGGATAACAAGAAGAAGAAACAGAAGAACAACAACATGGGGCTACGAGAGGAGGAGGGGGAGCAGGAGAGGCGGTGGAGGAGGGCGAGGGGGGGGGGGGGGGGGATAATTGAGAGGAAAGGGGGGGGGGCGTGGTGGAGGGGGCAGGCCAGGAGGAGGGCGAAGGGGGGGTGGGTGGGCCAGGAGGCGAGAAGCAGCGGGGAGGATGAGGAGGAGATACAGAGAGGAGGAGGATGCAGAGGAGGAGGAGGAGGAGGAGGAAGAGGACGAGAAGGAGGGGGAGGACTGTGCCAAGTTTTACAGGGCAGGACGTTGCGCCAAGGACCCAAACGCGGAGGAGGAAGAAGAAAGAAGAGGAGGAGGGAGGAGGAGGAGGAGGGGGAGGAGGGGAAAGTAGGAAAAGGAGGAGGAGGGGGAGGAGGAGGACCCCAAAAAGGAGGGGGAAAAAGGAGGAGGAGGAGGAGGAGGAGGAGAGGAGGGGGGAGGAGAAGGAGGAGGAGGAGGAGGAGGGAAGGAGGAGGAGGAGGAGGAGGAGGAGGAGGAGGCGGAGGAGGAGGAGGAAGAGGAGGAGGAGGAGGAGGAGGAGGAGGAGGAGGAGGAGGAGGAGAGGGAGGAGGAGGAGGAGGAGGAGGAGGAGGAGGAGGAGGAGGAGGAGGAGGAGGAGGAGGAGGAGGAGGAGGAGGAGAAGGGGGGGAGAAGGAGGAGAACTGTGAACCGTGTCACGTAACAGGACTTGGTGCGCCAAGGACCTATAGGAGGAGGAGGGTTATTCTTCCCTCCGTCCGTCCCTCCGTTTTTCTTATTTCCATTATTATGAGTAGTCTTACTCTTATTCGAATTCTAATTCGTACTCTTACTATTATGTTTCTTATTGTTCTTCTTATTATTGGCATTGTGATCATGATTAGCCGCCTTACTCTTATTCGTATTATTACGATTAGTCGCATTCTCATGTGCATTAGTATTCGCATTATTATCATGATTCGTAGTTTTATGTTTAAACGTCGTTTTAATATTCTTATTCGCATTCGAACTATTATTCGTATTCTTACTTTCATTATTAGTCTTATTATTCGTAGTGCTAGTAGTATTCGCATTCTTACTCCTATTCGGATTATTACTCGTATGCGCATTCTTATTCGCATTCTCATTCGTAGTATTACTCTTATTCGTTTTTCTGAGTAGTATCATTATTATTCGTAGTGGTACTCTTTCTTTTATTATTATCATTACTGTTATGATTTTTCGAACTCTGCGTTCGTACTCGTACTTATTCCCCAATCAGAGCTTGCCTCTGTAGGGGTCCGAGCGGATTCATATGGTTAGGTTAGGTTTGCCGCCGATTTTCGCCGGACGCCCCGGTGCCCGGGGGTGCCCGGGTGCCCAGGGGCACGGGGGTGCCCGGGGGCCCGGGCGTGCCCGGGGGTACCCGGGTGCCCCGGGGTGCTCTATAGCGCTACAGCCCTATAGCCCTATAGCCCTATAGCACTATAGCCCTATAGCACTACAGCTCTATAGCCCTATAGCCCTATAGCCCAATAGCCCTATAGCCCTATAGCCCTATAGCCCTACAGCTCTATAGCCCTATAGCCCTATAGCCCAATAGCCGTATAGCCCTATAGCCCAATAGCCGTATAGCCCTATAGCCCTATAGCCCTACAGCTCTATGGCCCTATAGCCCTATAGCCTTGTAGCCCTGTAGCCCTTTTACCCTATAGCCCAATAGCCATATAGCCCATATAGCCCTATAGCCCTATAGCCCTACAGCCCTAAAAATATTATGATTGGGTTTTTCTCCGGTATCATTATGTTTATTCGCAGCATTACACGTTATTATCAGTATTCGTATTACTCTTTGAATCATTATTCTTGCCGTTCCTCTGGTTATTATTATTTTTCGTATTCTTACTATTATACACATTCGTGCTCTTATTCGTTTTATTATGAGTACTACTTATTCGTATTATGTTTATTGTTATTGTTCGTACTATTGGTCCTGCTATAATTATTATTTGCATTCGCATTCTTAATAGTTGTCGCAATCGTTTTATTACTCTCATTTGTATCATCCGTATGTTTATTTGCATGCTTAGTATTATTACTATTATTAATACCCGTAGGGATATTTTTCTGTTGTTCGCATGATGATTACTATTAGCCGTGCTCTTGTATGCCTAGTGTGTTTCTTCTTACTCTTATGATTACTATTTGTTGCATTCGTATTCTCATTATCTTCTTCATATATATTGTCGTTTTTTCTGTGATAGTCTTGCTCAGCCCCACTCACGTTTAGACTCATTGTGTGTCCACTCCTCGGGCTCTCTGGAATTTCTGCGTCCTCGGGTGCTAAGATAACGCTCCTGTGCGGGGAGGGGGGCGATACCCTGGGATGCCCCCCCACCCCCCTAGGACGGCCCACGAGAATCAATTTCCCCAAAGGGATTGCAATGATAATCTCTGAGGGGGAGGAGGAGGAGGAGGAGGAGGAGGAGGAGGAGGAGGAGGAGGAGGAGGAGGAGGAGGAGGGGGAGGAGAAGGAGGAGGAGGAGGAGGAGGAGGAGGAGGAGTGGTGAAGGAAGAAAGGAGGGAGGAAGGAGGAGAGGGCAAGGAGGGGGAGGAGGAGGGGGTTTAGGGGGGAGGAGGAGCCGAGGTTTCGATTGGTGGGCACCCGCAGGCGCCTAGTTGGCGCCAGCACAGCTTGCACCACGTGGCTTCCAGAACAGCGCTCGCATCGTTTGCGTTGCTCCACAGGGATCGCACCGCACAGTGAGCTAACACAAGACAGCTTGCATCGCACAGCCTATACCACACAGCTTACGCCACATAGCTCATAACGTACCAGCTTCCACCATACAGCTCACACCATATAGAGCAACGTATCGATTGCGCCACATCGCTTGCACATCTGCAGTGCAACAACTGATTGTACAGGGGTTCCACGTCGCAAGCATGTTATATTTCAGAACGTGGACCCCCGAAAGCCTGGACACATTCGCAGTGACAACGCTTCATCCCTAGCCATGTTGGTGACGCCCCCATGGGGCCCTGCAAGCGGCCCACTTGGGGGCCGAAAGCAGCCAAAGCATCCGCCCATGATTGTTCACGGCGCGAGGGGGTCCAGGATTCCTAGAACCTTTCAAACAAAAAACCTTCACGAAGAATCCAGGATTCTGGGGGTCGAACGTCGACCCCCTGGACCCGTCCCGGAGCACATGCTGGGCAGAATCGTGAGGGGTACCCGGCCGTCTCGACGAGCAGCCTCCCCGAGACCCAACAAGGGCGAGCAGCGCGCAGAGCCTCGGTCACCGATTCCCCGGCAATATACACACACATATATATATACATATATATATATACATAAATATATACATATGTGTGCATGTATGTGTATAATATATAGATATAGATATAGGTATGTGCACATATCTCTATATATATATACACCGAGAGGCCCTCCAATGGATTATTCCTCGGCCTCAGGTTTGGGAGGCGGTGTATGAATCATCATTGAGAGCCAGCGGCTTGTATACCGCCACCTCCCCTGAGGGCACATGCAATGTTAGTCGGATGCTGTCTGTGTGTATACTTTCGTGGCGGATCGATCCTCAGGCGTTTTCTTCACGACGTGGCGGGGGTTTGCCTCCTCCCCCTCCCTTCTGCCCCCGTGTTGATGAAAGCCTAGCTGGATCCGCTGCCCACTTGTTAGGATTCCATGGGTGAGATATTTTGCAGTGGTTTGTTTAGGGTTCCGATAAACTGCGAACTCGGGGTGGACTGGTGGTCCGAAATTCGCGGCTGTCAAGTCGTTCCGAGGGCGCATCATTCAGTTAAGATTTGAGGCTAAGCCCCTATAGGTGTCTGACCTGATCCCTTCCTCCCCTCGCTGTCACCTGTCGGGCTGGGGAGTCGTTCACGCTGACGGGCGCTCGCGCCGGCCTCCCTGGCTACTGGGGCACGGCGCTGACCTCGGCCAAGGAGCTCGCAGAGTTCGCGCCCAGGAGCCCTGTTCTTTTCTTTGGCCGGGGAGGAGGGAGGATCTCGGAGAAAGGCCGGTCGAGACACCGGCGGCCCTCGCTGGCGTCGTTCGTCCTTGTTGGGCCTCCCGGAGGCATCTCGCCGCCACGGCTGCGCCCGCCCGGAATGACTGGTCGGGATGTGCCCTGGGAGGGGGTCCTCCT